CCAAAAAAAACAAAATTTGCTCTCTCTTCAGGGCTCGCCACACCACTCTGGAAATGTGAAAACGACAAAATTGTGGCGAGTGCATCTGGCCATGTTCTAGCGGGCAGTTCATTGTCATTTTGCACATTTCGAGAGTGGTGTGGCGATGCCCTTCATCCAACATCCGTGTTGAGTCTGTCTGTCGGGACTGCGTACCTTCTAGAATGGGGTCGTCATTTGCTGGCCCAACTGGGAAGCGGAAAGTAAAAGGGCATCTCGTTCCACTACTCTCCACATGCACAAACGACAAAAATCATGCCGGTGTATCTTTCCATGTTCTAGCGTAAGATTCACTCTCCTTTCGCACACTTAGAGAGTGAGTAGTGGAGCGAGGCCCTAAGTTAGAATTTCGCGAAGAAAAAAAAAAAAAAAAAAAAAAAAAAAATTCGCGAAGGTCGGGGATTCGGGGCTCCCCCTGTCGAAGGCAAGGAGGCAAGGCCACCCCAGCCCACTTTTAGCCTTATGGTTAGGTGTTTGCCTGCCAAGCCGTTGGTTGTGTGTTCGAGTCTTGTATTCGGATTACACATTTCCACGATATACCCGAAAGGCAAAGGAAGGACCCGGCAACACTGCTTCGCATCATCATTTTTTTATTATTACTTTCTTCTTCTTTTTTCGCATCATCATTTCATCATTCGTCTTCGAACACTCGTTTTTTTTTTAATTAAAAAAAAAAAAACTCTCTCATTGTATCTCCCTCTACCTGGCAGTTGAATTCATTTTTTTTTGTTTGATGAATTTTCCCGTGTTCACCCAACAGCGCCAGAATCTCTAGTCTTCTTCATACTGTATTCTTTCTTACGCGTTGCCCTCCTCCGTAATCGCTGATAGACATGGACCTTAATCGCGCAAAAAAAACATACCTACACCTCCCCTTAATCAAGGTTAACGTGAAGTGATATTGTCCTGGGTCTCAATCGCAACAGCACAAGTACCTAGACCTCCTCCTAATCGAGGTTCGGTTTGCGTAACACTGACGCAAATGTGGTCTGGGGGGGGGGGGGGGGGGTCCCACCTTCCCTTGTCATCATTCCCCGCAACTAGTCGGCTACCTTCTTCACTCAACACACAGCACCACCAACTCATCATCATCATCAATGTATACAAAGTTCTCCCATTACAAACACCAGTCCGATCCCGATCCAAACACAGTCATGACATGGGGAAGCGTTAGGATTGAGAGAACCTAACCTTCGTCTCATATATATTCATTAAATTTGACACACGTTTGCACATATATACTTATATATTTTTATATATTTTTATATAATTTTATATAATTTTATATAATTTTATATAATTTTATATTTTTTTTATATATTTTGATTTTTTTTGTATATTTTTATATATTTTTTGTATATATTTATAATTTTATATATATTTATATATATTGATATATTGTCACAAGAGTATCAGAGCGCAAATGCGAACAAAAAGAACAAAAAGGAAAAAAGAAAGAAAACAAAAAAAATGAATTCAGTTGTTTATCTTCTTCCTTATAACTCCCCCTGTTCAGAACGTCTTGCGTACAAGGCCGCCCACGTGGATGTAGGTTGAGCGGCGGCTGCCCCCACCCCCGTGTGTCATATCGACCCATATATATCCGTCAAATAGAACTGCCCGGCAACGGAGAGGGAGAGGAGGACAACAAACGGGAGGAAGTAGAAGTAGAAGATGAAGAAGAAGAAGAAGGGGGAGAAGAAGAAGAAGAAGAAGAAATTATCTTGCCTGTCTCTGTGAGGTTTGGTTTCCTCCTTTTATTTACCTCTCTTTGCCTTTTGGCTGCGTACAAGTGGGCCCTTGTGACACACGGGGATGGGCCAGCCGGCGCTCAACCTGTCATCCACGTGGCCGGCCTTGTACGTAAGAGGTGACGAGGAATAGGCGGAGCTTTCCTTCCTTCTTTCCTTCTTTCCTTCTTTCCTTTTTCGGTTGTCTTTTTTCGCCTTTGCCCTCCGATACACGGTGTGACTATATACATATATATACGAAACAGTTTGCCACAGCCCCTCGTTTGTTGTCCTCTTCTCCCTCTTGTCCCTCTCTGCCTACGGTTTACCGGGCAGCTCTGTTTGACTATAACACACTGGGAATCGGATATATCGTCACATAAATATCAGAGCGCAAAAGCGAAAAAAACAAAGAAAAACAAAAAAAGATATCAATTCAAATTTTATCTTCTTCCTCTTCTTATATATATCGTCACAAACAGAACTGCCCGGTAAACCGTAGGCAGAGAGAGAGAAGAGGACAACAAACGAGGGGCTGTGACAAACTGTTTCGTCGGAGTATATATATAGGTAATTCTCTGTCTACTCTTCGTTGCTAATTTCATTATGTATGATATTAATCCATATAGAATTGGACACTAAAGAAAAAAAAGGCTCGAGTCGAGTGAAGAGTGATATAGGTAATGAAATTAATAAGAAATTAAATTCATTTATTGAATATAGGGTAGCCTGCTACTATATATTGTCACAAAAATATCAGAGCGCAAATGCGGAAAAAAAGAAAAAGAAGAAAAGAAAACCAGGGAAAATTGAATTCAATTTTTTATCTTCTTCCTTATAACTCCCCCTGTTCAGAACCTGCTACTATATACTGTCACATTGTGAATCAGAGCGCAAAAAAGGGAAAAGAAAAAAGGAAAAGGAAAAAAGGGGAAGGGGAAGGAGGTAAGGAAAGCTCCACCTATTCATAACCTCTTACGTACAAGGCCAGCCACGTGGATGACAGGTTGAGCGCTGGCTGCCCCCATCCCCGTGTGTCACAAGGACCCACTTGCACGCAGCCAAAAGGCAAAAAAGAGGTAAAGAAAAGGAGGAGGAAACCAAACCT